AAACGTAGTTTCAGGAAAAAAAAGCAATCAACCAAAAAACCCACAAGAATCAAAGAGACCCTTGCAGTTTTGTGACAAAGGAAAACAAACAAGGGACTAAATTTCAAAATTTTCCAATTGACACCCCACTGGCAAGTAAATAGACAGTGTACAAGAAGTAAGTGTAAATGCTTTGGTGCAACACTGCTGCAACTGGAAATCAGAAAGAACATGGTACAGCAGCACACGATACTAAAAGTTAGCCTGAAACCAGCTGTTGCCCAATGGCTACTCTCTTGAAAGGCAATGAAGAATTACACATACTGCTATTGTTCAGGCACAAGATTTAACATTATTAGTTCATCCTCTTAGATAGTTTAATGACATAAAGATCTCCATCAAGAAAATTATACTTACAATTTGAACCACCATTTCTCTATAAGTTCTTCATGCTCTTCTACCATGTTGTTACATTCGAAGTTACTACTGTCACACAGATTCTCTATGATCTCTACAAGACGAATTTCACTACAAGCAAAGAAGGAAAACCGTAAATTTAATTTAAACATTCAATACAACTCAAGACCTGACAGAGCAACCAGACTCCAGTAAGATTATTTCATCATTTATGGGGTACCCTGAATTAGTTTCAAAATATACCAAATATCAGAGTAAAGAATCAATAAACATTATTTCAGTAAACAAAAAAAAACAAAAACAAAACAACAAAAAAAAAAAACCAACACGCCAAAACCAAAATAAAGACCACAAGAACCTTGTGACTTGCTTGCATTTACTATATTTGCAGATTGTAGGTTTGATAGATTTTTAGCTTCCAAGAAAATTGGGGTGCAGTACTTTTCTCTTATGTTCAACAACAAATTTAATGTATTTTTATTTTATACAAGTCTGTGAACCTCACAGTAACATCTCAGTGCTCCAAGACAAAAAATGAATTTGAAATGCAGGAGAAAGGTACCAGGTTACTCCTCTCCATGGTTAACCAGATATGCGTACAGTAATCTGCTTTCTCTTTGGCACTGAAACAGTGACAATTCTAGGGAGGAGATACCACACACTGTACCTTTTATGACTAGCAATAAAGTATTGACTATTATTTAGATTCATTATCTTAAGACTTTAATGGGTCAATAGGAAAAAAATCCTACTATGACTAATAACATAATTAACTTTTGTTACTTTCAGAAACAAGACTAATAAAGGCAATACTAAAGCCTTCAAGTCCTTACTATAATCTTTAGATTACAATATAATGCAACGTTATAGTCATTAAGAATTTGAGGTTTGGACAAGAGAAACCTTAGCTGCTAGCTTCAATATTTAAGTTCCAAACAAGCTCTGGTATAGTGAAGTTACAAACAGTGAATACAAATTCAGCTGAATGAGAAGTACTGAGACAGCTCACCTGGACTCATACTTTGACAGCGTCTTCTCTTCCCAAGCAGTGTTTCCACCACCAAAGTTTTTTTTAGCTGTATCTGCTAAACCCTAAAATAAAAAGTACCAGAAATTACATAGGGTTTGTTTCTAACAAAAATTAAGGACAATAACAAATGTTTACATAAAAATTGCAAAAAGTGCCATGCATAAACTACAGTAGAGCTCTCAAGCCGCTGATCAAATTCCTGAGTGAAAACAGCAGCTACTAACAACATGAAAAGTGAGAAAGTGTATGTTACAGCATACCATGATTTAATTTTCCTAATGCATTAACAAGGCCACGTTACAGGAAGTTTATTATTTATTATCATTTGAACAGAACCTCTACTTCATTCAGTTTACATAACAGCCTGGTCTGCATCACGTTGTAAGTTAAGCACACAACCGTACAACAGGGCGATCAGCACAGCTGTCCCCAAACACAGCCAATGCCACCAAACAACAGCTCGCAGAAAACCCTGCAGTTCGAGTGACCTGGCGAGCCGCAGCAGCCGATTGGCGTATGGAGAACACAAAGCTCCGGGCACCAGGCGCAGCAGCCCCACGCAGGCAGCGCAGAATTTACCGTGCCACACGTATGGCTGCTGCGAGTGGCAACAGACAGCGAATGTTCGGGGACGGAGCCTTTCATCAGCACTTCCCATGGAACCAGACACACTCCAACGGAGCCAGCCTTTTTGCACAAAGGGCAAGAAAACACCTTTGGCAGCAGAGATGGAGGAGCTCCGGCATCCGCCTGCCTCAGCACTGCGACTGCTGCCGGAGCGGGACCCGCCGCTGCCCCATCACAGGGCCGGGCACCGCCTCCAACGCGGCTCCGGCAGAGGAGCTCCCGTAGCGCGGCCTCTCGGCCCGCCAGACCTACGCCGCTGCTCGGCCCCGCCGGGAGCCCCCGCGAACCCCCGCCCCACCGCGGGGCCGTCCGCCCGCACGCCGCGGCCCACCTGGTTGAACCTGTCCACGATGCCCCGGCAGGTGGAGCACGCCAGGCGCCGCCGCTCACCGGCGCCGCGGACAGGCGGCGGCAGCAACAGGGCGGCACAGAGCAGCACGGCCAAAGCTACGCGAAACGGTCGTGGCACAGGACCCGGTCGAGGAGAGGGGCCGGGCCCCATGGCGAGGTCGCGGGACCCCTGGACGCGGAGCGGGGCCGTCCCAGCCGAGCCCCCTCAGCAGCAGCAGCAGCGGCGGCGGCGGCCGCGCTCGCCCCGCCCCGGCCCCGCCGGCCCGCGAGCTCCATTCAGATTTCCGCGTCAGCCCCACCCGCGTACGAGCCGCGGGCGCTCGTTGGCCGAGGTGGCGGTGCGAAGGGACGTGGTCCAATCAGCGCCCGCCACGCTCCGGACCAATGGGAGCCCCCCGCGTGCCCAGAGAGCCGGGCGGGGCAGAGCTGTTAAAGCAAGCGACGCCCATCGGCCGCCATTATGAGAAAGGGCAGGCACCGGCTCCGCAGAGGCTTCAGAGCCGCGCGCCATTTGTATTTTACAGCCTCCTCGGAGACCTTCTACTGCCGGGGGCGTGCCCTGCCCTCACCTAATATGGCTGGTGGGGGAGGCGGTCACGTGTTCGCGGGGCTGGCGGTGCCGCTCCCGCGCTGCCGGCGCCCTCTGCGGGGCGGCCACGTGGGCGCGCGCGCGGTGAGTGCGGGCCGGGCCGCGGGCGCTGCCCGGGCCGGCGGCGCGGGCGGCATGGAGGGACGGGGCGGCGGGGAGAGCCGCGGCAGCGGGAGAGCCGCCAGCTGCCCGTGCCTTCGCTGTAGCCGGGACAGAGGGCGCTCCCGGCAGCCCCGCCGGGCTGTGCCAGGCGGCCGCCCCGGCTCTCCGCCTCCCGGGCGCGGGAGTTGTGGTGTGGCGGGAGGGAGCGCGGCCGGGCAGGGCAGGGCAGCGCAGCGCAGCCGCCTCCTGAGGGGTGTGCGCGGGGCGAGGTGCCTGCCCCTGCCGCGGGGGCCTGGCGGCCTCGGGGCGGCGCCGGCGGCTGCGGGAGCCGCGGATGGTGCTTGGTCTCGGCCTGAAGCCCCCACGGAGCTCCCTCACAGGAGCGCCCTGACACGGGTGGCGCTTCAGACCCGGCCGGGCGCGCACCTGCGGGGCTGGCTGGGCTGCGCTGGGTGGATGTCCGAGAGTCCGGCTGTCCCTTGCTGGGGCCGGGGTGCCCGGGAACCACGAGGGCAGGCTGGGGGGGGGACGGTGTTTGGGTTGCATTTGGGTAGGTTTCGGTCAGAGCGCATTCTGCATGCTTCTTCCCCGGCCCCAGGAGTACCATTTCTTTCTTTACCACTTCGTCGTACCTTTGTGTCTGGTAGTGTCTCACACTGTATTTCCTGCCTCAACTTTTCTCTTCTTTTTTATTTTTTTTTCTCCTAGTTTTTTTCTTTTTGTTTTTTTTATAGCAAGTCTCGAAACTTATGAGGAAGTGCATATAAGAATAGTAACGGTAGTTTTTTCCTAATACAAGAAGAAGAAGAAGCAATCTCAGCAACTGCAAGGTTTAAATCTAACCTCATTGAGGTATTAGCCCTAGAGCAAGCTTGGAAGAGCCATTAACGCATAGGAAAAAAAGCCATGGAAACTTAAGAAAAATGGGTTTTGCCAAAGCTAGATCAAGCAAAAGAGGGAAGACCTTGTGCTTGGTGGTTCTGCTTAGGTGCCTCCGTGTGAGGAAGTGAAATGGCTCTGTGGACAGATGTAACATGCAGTTTGGCTGCCAAACTCTATCATAGCTCTTATGAAGCATGTCTGAAAAACTTAAGTGAGCTAAATATGGTAGGTTTTTCACGGGAAGGGTAAAAAATCTATGTAAACTAATGATACTTCCACTGAATAAGAATAAAACAGCAACAAACCATTTTTGATGGAAGTACCTTAGATGCTTTTTTTGTTGTTGTTGTTGTTGTATGAAAACCCCTTTTTTTTTCCCAACCAGTTTAATCCCAAGAAAAGATTAATCCTTTGTGCTAAAAACCTCTGCTCTTCTATGATTCAGTCTTGATATAGATTCCTGAGGTGGGGGGGTCATTGTGGCTGTGTTCTAGAGGCCTGAGGAAGATTTTTCTGAAGTTGCCAGAATGTAATCAATGGACAAATCTCTGCGTATTTGCTTATGATTATTCCTCTAAGCTTCATTATTAAATTATTTTATTGAGTGAAAATCTGTTTCTGTGGTTTTGGCATTTGAAAAATAAAAAACCCCTTTAATTTCAAGTATTTGTTTTTATATAGCAAATTTATTTTAATCACCAAATTTAGTATCGACCTGTCATGATAAATTCCACTTGAATTTCGATGCTTGTCAGCATCAATTGTCAACAAAGCAAGTTATCTTGAGTCTTGACAAGACCACTGAATTTATTAGGGTTTATCTCAGAAACCTGGGTGTTGTCTTCATGCTTTGGTTTTTTATCTTTTAGCATGTTTCCCTTCAGGGAATTTCAGTATTTATAATGCATGTAATTATCTTCAAGATGTACAAGTATACTGGTATACTTACTTACTTTTTTCAGGCATACAAAAGGATTGGAGTCAACAAGATTAAAAAAAAAAAAAAAGCTTGTGATAAACTGTTGTAGATCGGTCAGAGGATAATAAATGCAGTATTTATAGGTGATGGTAACAACTCGGTGTTATGCAGATGATGTAGTTAAGAAGGAAAAAATAGAGCTTCTTGGTACTTGGGTCCTTTTGTAAGGATTCATTGGGTCCTAAAATAGCTGCAGTGTTAAGAAGTTGTGAATTTGGAGTCAGAAATATCTACCTTGCAGGTGAATATCCTGCTTCACCTGATGCATGAGCTACAAGTACCATGTTGCTGTGTGCAGCAGTGGGTTTACCCTTCAATGTCCATTCTTCTCAGTTACGTTTGGCCAGTAACATGAGATTCTTCTGCATTATTGGAAAAATTTGGCAAGTTTGCCTTCGATAGACAAGATTTTGTGTGACATAAATTGCCTGTGCAGGGACTTAATTCCTGCCAGATACTTTTTGAGGCATCCTGGTGTGGGAGATCAGACCTCAAAAAGTGGGACTGACTCAATCCCTGCATCCTGGTGTCAGTCCCATACCTCTTTTCCTACTTCTGAGGGACAGGGATTCTGTTGTAGCATAAACCATCGTTATTCATTCTGGTAAAGAAGTAATACTAGGCACGGGTTAAAAAAGCTATTCCCATCTCCTGGGATGAAGGGTTTAGGCTCCTGACAATGCTCTGTCTTTGGGCCCAGGCTTAGAGCTTCAGTTACAGTCTCCAGCAGAAGCAATCATCAGAAAAAGAAATGCAGTCAATTAGATATTTAAAATAATATGCAGATGCATGCAATTTACAGGGATACACAAATTTCAGGATTTATTGTTAGTAGTTCTGAATACAAGGAACATAAGCTTGCTCATTTTTACTAATTAGCATCACAAACATCGGTTCAGATAAAGGTAGCTCTAGGAGGCAGCTGCTAAGTGATCCTAGGAAATCTGCCAACTATCTTATATCTGTTTGATGGACATATTTAGATCAAAACAGGAGAAAACATCTCTAACCAAAACCTCAGTTACACCTTAAAAGTGCTGGTTTTGAAATTTATCTCTGTGAGAACAGAGCAAGAATAACAATAACCAAAATCTCTTGTCTTTTATTAAATTGTAAACTTACAAAAAATTCGGAAGCTTAAATTAAAAGAGCATGAAATAGATCAGCTCTGGCATCACCTGAACATATGATTTTATCGTAATGATAAAATACAACATAAGTACTACCATAAGAATGGCTCAGCAGTTTTGTGAAGTGAAGCACTAGGGAGAGGTGGCCTTCATTTCTGGGTAGAAGTGTGAGATATGGGGTACCGAATGTCTCTTGCCATAGTGACATGTGTGAGTGCCAGAGGGGATTTGTCCTTCTCTGGCCAAGTTCAGACCTTGCTGCTGGCAAACTCGAGACATCAAAGTACTCTGTTCTGAGTATTCTCATTCTCATGGGTCCTGTCCCACTGATTTTGGAGCCCTGAACAAACAACACAGAGTGTGTTCTAAAGATCAGGTGTAAATCCAGTGTGCAGTTAAAGTGAGGGTAAATTACAAAGCTGTCCCACAAATCACAGACGTAACTGAGGTGACACTCAGCAGTGGGGCAGTATGGAATGCAAAGGGATAAGGTTTTTTAGGTGAAAACTAAAACAATTATATTTACAGACAGTGACATAAATTCTGAAGTGCTTCTGAATATATTTTTGAGTACCTTAATGGAATGTAGCAAAAAGTTTCCTGGATGTTTGGACTTATTAGTCTTTGTTTAAACTTTTCGACTGCTGTAGTACATTTTCCTTGCATCATCAGTCTTTTTTTCTGATTGTACACTTCATGCCATGTTATTTATGTAATTTTTTTCAAATTTTCTTTTTAATAATAATAGAATATATCTGAATTTCAAACCCAAGATGGCTCAGAAGAGGAGCTCAAGTGGGCGATCATTCCCATTGCTGCTGCTGCTCATTGCAGTGGCCTTTATTCATTTAACTGTCTGTCCTTTCACAAAAGTGGAGGAAAGCTTTAACCTACAAGCTATCCATGATGTGGTGTACCACCAGCTGGACTTGGATAAGGTAAATTGAAGATAATATCTTAATTTTTGGACAGTGTTAAAGATGGCAATTCCCTGCAGTATCTGTAGGACAAATGTGGTGTGAATGTGACTTATTTTCCCTTGTTTCTGATTTGCCTATTTTAAGTAGATTCTCCTTTTTGCAGTATGACCATCATGAATTTCCTGGAGTTGTCCCAAGAACGTTCCTTGGACCAATTTTTATTGCTGCTCTTTCCAGCCCAGCTATCTACATACTTTCTGTGCTAAGAATGTCCAAGTTTTATTCCCAGCTGATAGGTATGAGAACTTCAAGTCCTCAGAGATGTCACCCATTAGAGCATCAGTTAAAACATTGTTGCTGCATTTGGATCAATGGTTGAATTATGATACTCTTTTCCACAATGAAGGAAAACCCAAACTATGGCACCTGGGTCTGGCATGGCCATCCCCTCTTTGGGGAGTAACTAACAGCACACAGAAAGTCTATGCTAGCAAATGCCAGGCAATGTAGAAAAAGCAAGTAAGTCTCTTCAGAGAGTACACTCCCGCTTCAGAAAGGATTGTTAACTTTGGCATGGAAGCATTGACCTTTGTGCAGAACTACCAGACAAGTTAAAAGTGGGTTAGAATAGTTAAATCAAATGGAATTTTGTTTGACTTTGTTTCTTTGAAGGTAGTTATATTGTGGTATCTTATGTGTTAATCTTCAGAACACCATCCCATTACATTGTATAACATGGTCATTCATCAGCGATCCATCTGATGCTATGCTTTGATTCCCATTTTTATTCTCTTGATAGTCCGAGGAAGTCTGGGGCTCAGTGTGATTTACACGTTATGGAAACTGCAGAAAGAAGTTAGAAAACAGTTTGGAGCAACTACAGCATCAATCTTCTGTCTCATCACTGTTACTCAGTTTCATTTGATGTTTTACTGTACAAGAACCCTCCCTAATGTGTTTGCACTTCCATTTGGTAGGTATTTAATGGGAAAAAATTAAAATTTAAAACTTAATGTATCAGTAGTTAAAAAACATGAAAAGTATAGGCAGACCAAATTAACATGTCCGCTTGATTAAATTGTGTGATAACAAGACTAGAAAGCTTGAGATTTTTCTCTTTTTTTGCCATATATGCTTACAATGATTGTTGAATCAAGTTTTTTTTGAAAGTGAGTACGTGTGGGTTTTGTCAGATGGCTTTGATTAGCTAGAGGTGTGAGTATACTTGTCTAATGCATGAAGCATAGAGCTATGAAAAAGGATGAAGTACACCTGCAGTTCAAAAAAACCCTATGAATTTGGCCTGCACTTTCTCATGAGAGTGTAGAAGAAATTCCTACTGCAGCATCTCCACCTTCCTCTTCTGAAGCTGTCTACAAATGCAGCAGTTTCTATACTTGGAGTAAAAAAAAAAAAAAAAAGCCCAAAGCCAAACCCTTCTTTACATCTACGCTTTTCCCCGAGAACTGATGAAGAGGAAAATAATCGCATGTGACAGATATTAACTGAGTCACTGAATGCTTCAGTGCAAGTTGTTCAGCTAATAAAATTGTGAGGTTGCTGTAAGAATCTGTATAGATGAGAAATGAGAAACAAAGGCAGATTAATTGTCAGATGAACTGTGTAGTAATGTCTCAGATAATTTCTGCATATTAAAAAGTACAAGTTTTTTCATTATTTTACACATTAATATTTCATGTTTTCCTTAGGATCCTGAGCACTTTACTATGCTGAGATTTAAACTAAAAGTAGAGACAACTTCATCTGTAGAGATATGGTCCCACCTAATCATGTAAATGAATTTATAGATCTTTCTCCCACAGCAGTAGTCTGTAGTCTCATTTTTATGTTTGAAATGAGTTTGTGTTGTCATTAATATAGAATATACTTAGCCAAGAGAATGAACTAACTGCCCAGTTGATATTGAGCAATAATAACTATGAATCATAGTTGGAGAAGCTTTTAATGCTCTTTTAATGTTTTCTTTTTTTCCCCCCCTCAACAGCTATTAAATATATTGCCTAGAAAGAGGTCCCATGTTTTCCTTCTAGGGTTATACTTTTCCTAATTACTTAAGCATCGACAGTATAAAGCTGTGCATTATTCCAAATTACATTTCTGTAACAAAGGAAGAATTTCTGGACTAGAAATGGTAGGAAGACCAAGAAAGGATTGATGGGAAGTTAGAGGAACAAGAAGATAGCGTTGAGTGTTACCCTTTAGAAAATAAATAATTCAGTGTGTTAGATGATGTGTTTGGGGGTTATGTTGTTTTTTTTTTTTGCAGTGCTCCTGGCATTGACGTTTTGGATACAGCAAAAGCAAAGGCCATTCATTTGGTTCTCAGCTTTGGCGATTATAGTCTTCAGATCAGAGCTCTGCATATTTTTAGGCCTCATGCTCCTGGTGACGTTATTAACTAAAAGAATCTCCATTTTCAAGGTGCTTTCCCATGCTGTTCCTGCTGGTATATTTTGGTTGGGTAAGTGTTTGCTTGGAAGAAAGCAAATGACATGAAGTTCAAGTGGAGTTTTGACTGATTTACCTGTTGAATGGCCCTTTAGGGTGTTTTTGGGGGGGTGGCAGTGGAGAGAGGCTAAGTGGGGTGTTGTAAGTTGTTTTTGTTTTAGTTTGAGTCTATTTGCTAATAATACAACAGGATTTTTTATTTCTTTGAGAATTTCTGTGTGAGGAAATAGATGTGTGCAGAGCAGGGAAAGCTAGTGTGGTCTCTGTCTTTAGATGCATACAGTGTAATGCCCTGATCTTCAAGAGGCTTAGATGTGCAAGTTGACTTCAGTACAATTAGTACCTGACTGTAGCTACTTGTGCGTAGTTGTAGTATCTATTGCCATGGTGATGAGTCCCAGGATAAAATACCAACTGTGTGACAGAGAGATACCAAGCAGGAGGGTTCTGGGGAGAGTTGCAGTTCACCTCTGTTCCGTATTAAATTCAATTTAACAGCTTAAGTGATCTCCATACTGGAGAGGTTGAAAAATTCCCTTCTCTCTACCCATCTGTGGGAGACCCATGTGTATATGCACAGAAATACTCCAAGCTACTCTGCAGCTTACTTAATGAAAAATGCTGTTGTCAGATATGTGATGATGAGCCCTGGCAGTGTGCTGTCCCTTGCACAGTGTGCACAGTAGAAGCACTAAAACAATTATGCCAGGTGCATTTGGTGGCACCTCATGATGTAAGAGTTTGGAGGTCCAATGGGAATTAACTGTTGGCACTCCCATTTTCTATCTGAGCAAAATCCTTAAATACCAGAGCAGTTTTCACAGAGTGAGTTTTCACTCCTCCTGAGTGGAGGAGATAGGGCTGACAGTTTTGCTGCTTTCTTTTTGCCTTTCATCCCTTATTCTCCTTCTTCCTCCACCTAATGAATAGTAGCAAACTTTGTGATTGCTTTTTATAAGTTAACAAAAAACAATTGTTTACAATAAAAAATTATTTAATACTATATGAAGTTAACATGAGCTTCTTATCATTCATTACATTTAATGCTCTTAATACTAAAGCAAAACTCAAACCATTTTTTTTAAACCTGAGGTTGGAGTGGGGTGAATCCTAATAGGATTCATGTTTAACATGCTTCTTTTAAGGCTTCTGTTCAGAAGTGTCTCCCCTGCATTTCCCCTGCAAGACAGACATATTCAGCCTTCTCCGTGGTTTTGGATGAGGCTTACAATGCATGTTTCAGTTTATGTTGGTCTCAATATGCTGTGTATGTGCTATTTGGATGTGTTAGCCTGCTTTTCCCTGGTTTTTAGTTCATGCAGATTTGTATCTCTTTAATTCTTTTAGGGCTAACGGTTGCTGTGGATTCTCTATTTTGGAGGCAGCTTGTGTGGCCTGAAGGGAAAGTGCTCTGGTATAACACAGTTTTAAACAAAAGTTCCAACTGGGGAGTATCCTTTGAAAGATACAGAGAAAAAGAACACTATCAGCCAAAGCAAAGACTTGATGTGACTTATTCCTGAGACTTTGGATGTTAGAGTCTACTTTTCATTATTTAAAACTTATGAGACAATGTCTATCTCTTAGGTAGTTTTGCAAATTGTAAGTCTCCTCTGCTAACGTTTTTCTTGCCTCTTTATGTTCTAACAATATAAAGCCAGGTTTCCTCCCCTTGGTTTTTCATGTTGCCCATCATTAGTGCCATTTGATGCGCCTCTGTTGGCTGATATGAATGTAATTAAGCAACTGTTTTTAGTTCTCCAAAGAGAAGACAGGAAATGAAAGGCTGGAAGAATGTGTATACAAAAAGTATACCGTATATTTGCAAAACTTGTGGGTACTAATGTAAAGAATAGTTACTTTACTTGTTAGCAGTGAAAGCATCCTTAACTCTTTTCACCTTGAAGACCTCTCCCTTCTTGTGGTATTTCTATTCAGCCCTGCCTCGTGCTTTGGGATGCAGCATAATATTTGTACCTTTAGGAGTAACAGAAAAGAGAACTCGGATTTTACTTTTGCCAGCACTGGGCTTTATTTTCTTGTATTCGTTTCTCCCACACAAAGAGCTGCGTTTCATCATCTATACTTTCCCTGTTTTCAACATAGTGGCTGCTAAAATGTGCTCACGAATGTAAGTTCAAAATCCTGTTTGTTGGGTTTTTTCCTCTGAAAATGCAAAATGAAAACTATTAGTACTATTTCTGTGTACTTTTTTCCATCTTGAATTTTGGATCATATTGAAATATTCATATGCTGTAGAAAGGAGTTTAAGGTCTTTGTACCCATTTGACTGCAGAGAGAAGTGGAAACAGAGAAAAGTCAAATGCTTTTATGGGACTATTTGGGAAGTCTGAAGGAGAATTGAGAATAGAGCTCTAATTTTACTGTAACGCTGTTACAATGAAGTTTATCTACTGAAAAAAAAAAAGACATATTGCAGTGTACTCCTGAGCTGTTACTGTAACTTACCTCAGGAGATAGTTTTATACACAGGCGAGGCTTGTGAAACATGGAGTTAAATAGTTACGTTTGGGTATATTGAGAAAACAAATTGAAGTTCAGAGTTTAACTTCTTTAAAAGAGAATATATTCATAGCTGAAGTTTTTAAACACAGAAATACTTAGCTTTATTGATAAGTTTGTCTTAGCTTTTTTAATGAGAATATTCTAATTTAAATGTCACTAGAAGTTAAATCTTCTAGAAATTGGTAATAAATACATGCCATACAGGATTAATCAAATTTGCATTAATCTTCATTACCTAGAAGTGGAGTTTCCATAACAGTTGTGTCACAGTAGTCAGTGACCAATATGAAAGAAAGTAACAGTTAATTCTTCCTTGTTTTTTCTCTTCCTCAACAGTCTGAATAACTACCGGAGATCCTGGCTGCACAAACTTGGATCTTTCTTTATTATAATGCATCTTCTACTTAATGCTATTTATTCAGGAACATCTTTATATGTTTCACATTTCAATTATCCTGGAGGAGTGGCAATTCAGAAGTTGCATGAGTTGGTACCTTCAACAACAGGTATGTAAAGCTGGCTTGAGGTATGTTCACCTAATTTTAATTTCAGTATATATTCTAATGTATTGTATACTGCTTCTTCAAACTTGGTGCATGCATCTTCTTTGTTACTATTTTGTTAATTTCTTACTAGAGTGTACCTGGAAGAATTTTGAAACTGTTCTCTATATTCTTTATTGATGTAGATGTCTCTGTTCACATTGATGTGGCTGCAGCGCAAACAGGAGTTTCTCGGTTTCTGGAAATCAATTCTGATTGGAGGTATGTTCTGAAGGAGGTATTTTGATCTGAGGACAGTAAGCTGCTTTTTCCTTTTTTGCATGTGCACAGGGACAAGCATTGCAAGCACAATTTATACTACAGTGTATTTATTAAACTAGCTTAAGAACAGTATGAATCTTCAGAGAATTTTTGATGTCTCCAGTGCTGCCATTTCAGAAATAAAGCACTGCAGTGTTTTTTCATTGTTTTGGTTGATTTTGATTTGCCTATATAGCATAGAATATTTCAAAGGACAAGAGGAAATGGCCTCAAGTTTGCCAGGGGAGGTTTAGATGCAATACTAGGAAAAATTCCTTCATGGAAAGGGTTGTCAAGGATTGGAACAGGCTGCCCAGGGAAGTGGTGGAGTCCCTGGAAGTGTTAAAAGTGTGGATGACTTGGGGCCATGGCTTAATGGTGGATATGGTGGTGATGCTAAGGTGATAATTGGGCTTGATGTTCTTAGACATCTTTTCCAGCCTTAATGATACTGTGATTCTAAAGACATCAGAAACAGCACAAAAATTGTTAGCTTACCGAAATTTATACAATATGCTTAATGCGGCTAGGTTTGATACCCCACTAGACCTTGTGAAACAGAGCTGTTCTTAGCAGAAGAGTGTATATAATGGTTTGTTTGTCTGAGTGATCTGTGGCAATGTGAGGCTCATGTACATTTTAATATTGAAAGTCTGTTTTTATGTGAAACATCCTTCATATAGATGGCATTGAAACTGCTGCTGTGAACACATTCATCAGCTTTGAGGGAAGGCTGTTAAGTGCTTTGTTACTATGACCAGCAGTGATACATAGAGTTGGAATATTGGAATGAATAGTAGGAGACATTGTGGGGTGGCATCATTTGCTTTTCAGGATGAAAACCAGAAAATAAGCCTTTCTGATTCTTAGGCCTACCTCTTCAACTGAAGCATAAGTTTTTAATTTAAACAAAAATGATCTTAATGAAAACGATTCATTAGAAGGTGACACACACACTCCCTCCATACTGCACAAAACAAAAGCAAGACAAGTAGATTTTGATTTAACAAGTGTTCTGAGCATAGTTATTTTTCTCCAGTTATCTCCAGTATTTGGGATCAGATGAACAAACATAATTAAAGTATTGGTATGTTTAGAGCTAAAAGTATTTTGGAAGTAAAGCAGAAGAAGGGGAAAGAATGCTTCCAAGGGAATTGCAAAAATCATTGCTCTTGCTATGCGTTTTTATTTCCAAGCACTCTCATGATGGTACAGACAGTTTAAAGCCTTCACCATTACCTGTCTACTGTTTATTTCAAATTGGTGTTTTGTATGTTGAATCTAGAGAAAGTCTTAAGCCATGAATCAGGAGGAGACATTAAGCTGCTAGAGTACAAGGGATAGAGCATGCATGATAGCTAAAATGTTTCAGTCTTTGGGGTTTTTAAATATACTTAAATAGGCACACTACTCTGAATACAATTCTCTCAGTAGTAGTTCTTCATTCCAATGGGCTTTTTGAGTTGGTGAGTGTTGGATTGCTTTGGATTTGTAAGGCTTGTAAGGCCTTGTGGGATTGGAAGGTGAATGAATAATGTCCCTGTCACTGATAGATGTTTCATAGTGTTGCAGCTACAGAGCAGTTTTTCTCTCACTTTTATCTGTACTCAGCAGAACAAAGGCTCAAAGTCAGCATAAAGTTTCATGTTAAAAAAATTAGGCAAAAATCCACATCTGAGCATCATACAAAGGACTGGTCTGGCAGCACAGTAGTGCAAAGTTTAGTGGCACCAACTGTCCATTTTCTGGTTGTCCAAGAAGGTGAAGCCTTTCAGATGGGTGAAAACTAACTTAACATCTTCATAGACAGTATATGTCAGGTGAAAACAGATTAGGGATGGGGTGGCTGTGAAGTCTGATGATTCATCAGATAATTGCAATCCATAAACAAAAGTGTCTTAAAGTTATCAACTTTCAGTAGTGTGCTCAGATTAGATCTATTTGCCTCAAGAAAAATGCAAGCAATCTATTATTTTTCTTCAAAGGGTGATTGAAAGGAGCTTGATGCAGGTTCTTATACAGAACAGGTGTTACAATCTTGTCTTCAATTAGTGCAGTCTCTTTGAACTCTGAATAAATATGCTGCGTAAGCTTAGAGTATTTAAAAATAATAAAATTCAGAAATGCTTGCAGCCAGATGAAAGGCCTTTTACTTGCTGATGAAGAAGATGCGAAATTAGTAGTTGGTAAGGTTGTTACAAAGTAATGCTGCTCCTTCTACCAGTTTGCATGTATCTACCAACCTAAAGGGTATTGTGATATTTTTGGAAATAGCAGGTGAAATTAGCATGCAATTGTTTTAGAAGAAGAAAACAGCTGTTCAAAGTGTGCAAAGTCTAATTCTGCATTAGATGGTGTATTTAGTGACACTTACGAATTCTGTCAGCCTGGAGTCTTTTCTGAGTTGCCAAAATTTTAGTTAATAAGTCCCACAAAACCTCTAGTTTTCTGTAAAGTACTTCCTTCAAATATCTTAAATGAAACAGTGGTTTATGGAGTGTTTTGGGGTGAACTTACCTCTTCTCCTTTGAAGTTGCTGCATTGAGGACTCGATCAGGCTGCTGTGTCCAGTATGACTATTCTAACCCTTAAGCTGCTATAAATTGCACCTGGCTCTCCTCAGTGGATGAACAAATCACTATTCTGAAGTAGAATCATGTCCTCATGAGACAGTGAGGATGATCTGTCTCAATTCCTAGAAGATTAAAGGGGTTCATACAGCTCTTAAGAGATAATGAACTTTAGTTTTGGGCCTAGGTCAGATGAAATGTGGCTGAAACTAGAACTTGCACATCCCTGCCAAATGGCTAAGTCACTTGTTTTCTCATCCTGTAAATTCCCTCAATAGCTGGATTAAACATAAATTCTTTTAATAAATAAATGTAAGTGTACATAATATATAGTCCTAGAACTCAGTAGTTGCTTTTAAATACCTTTTTAAATGTTTATATATAATTTATATGTATTCTGGTACTTTAACAGTTTGTAAAAGCTGACCCAAAGTGACCTGCCCAAACATGTAGTAGATCAGGGAAGTGAACTTAGAAATAACAAGTGCCAAATTAGTACTGCAATTGCCAGGCTCTTTCTTTCCTCCAGTGTTCAAGGAGCTCTTCTCCCTGCTATTCTCTAAGGCTCCTACTCTAATGGATGACTACCAGAAGAAAAAGGTTTCTGCTTAATACCATATAAGGTATTTTTTAGAATTACTAAAAAACCCTACAAACAAACAAAAATCAGCAAAAAAACCCCAACAAAACCAACCCCAAATCCTCACATTTCTCCAAATGCAGTTTTTGTAGAATAAAACTTAAAAATGGTTCAGTTTCCTACAGTCTTAGGCTTTGGAGTCTTTTTTCCACTGAATTCAAATAGGGAACTAGTAAGAAATTTTCTAGGAGTTGTGATTTATATCACAATAGCAGCAGAAAAGACTTGCATGGACTGAGTTCCCTTCAATTAAGTTCATTCTTCAAAAATACTATTTCCTCCTCCAGTTCTATTTAATCAGGAGACATAATTGAGAATGTTAGTTCCTTTTTGTGTTTCATCTTGGATGCTACATGCATCTGCAGTAATGGCCATCTTTAATAGATAAAGCAAGGAATAAAAATAAACCTTCTTTATTCTTCACAGGTATGACAAAAGAGAAGATGTTAAACCAGGAGACCAGTTGATGTTTTCTTATACACATATACTGATGGAAACAAATCCTCTTCAAATATCACATTACAAGACAACCCACAGGCCACTGGCAAATATACCTGGCATCAGTAAAATTGGGTTGAACCTTACTGCACTACCTCCTTTTACTTTAAACTTGAAACCAAAATTAGTACTGTTGGAAAAACTTCCTCTATCATCTTGACTGTGAATTTTAAGTAAGTCTTTTGATATGATTTTGCTGATGACTGAACTATGTAAGACAGCAGCAAATTGTCATTCCAGCACTGCAACAGCTTCTGTGGAAAATGGCACGGAAAATCTCTGTACTGATTGGTATTTAGCTCCATCCTGTTCCTTACATAAATAATACAGTGCATTACTAGTCAGTACATACTCAGTATACTGAGTTGTACTGTTATATATGTTTGAGAGAGGTTGCCTACAAGTTTAGTGGTATTAAGTAAAACCTGCCTACTTGGTTTAGTAGTCTGTTTCATCATATAGCACAGGTATGTCCTAATTATCCTATATAAGATACAAAATCAACAGGTTTGTGCTAGGGCAATAATTTGATATGTAATCTCTGTGTGTAAAGATGTATTACTTAATGTATCTGCAGGATTGTAACTCCCTCAGCTGTCTGATTGCCTGTGTGAAATCTAATGATGTTATCAACATAGGAAAGCCATATTCATCACAGCTTCATCGTAATACCTAATTTTGCCCTATAGGCTACCAAACTAATGAAGCATTCACTTAAGAAGCAGTTGGGCCTCTTGACAAGTGCTGTTTGATAACAGATTTGAGTACTAAGGATGATTATCTTCATTCCAACACCTCATGAAAAAGCAATAACTTGGATTTCCCAGGAAAAAGAATTTTTAAAATAATGTTTCCTCTCTTCTGTTGTAATTATATCTTAATTTGCAGTGCAAAAATTTACCTGTGAAAATGTCCACTTAAAGATAGATGGTGTTTTCCTTTTTTTTTTTTTTTTTTATTAAGTAATCCCTTTGGAAAGGAATATTCTAATGTGCCATGTGCTGCATTCTATAAACTAGAGTAAGATTGCATGCTCTGTAGTTTCTTTATTAGATGTTTTTGTTAAAGATGTCTACATAGGTTGCTAAATGGAACAAGAAAAAAGGTTAGAATTCTGTTTCGGGCCAGTTGTAATATGACAGAAGCTCCATTAATATAAAATGCCAGAATCACGAAATTATCATGGGCAGAAAACTATTCCTTGTTGACTGAATACTTGAGTAAAATATAATTACGGAATAAAGTGGTTTGTTTTCTTTTTATTCTTAAACTTGCTTGATCCAGGAACTACCTTTCAGTTTGTTTTTGCTTTTGGGACCATGTTTTCTTTTTATCCTCTAGATTATGTATCAGTGGAACTATCTGGTGGGGTGGAGCCTGCTCTGTTGTGGGTGGCTGTTGTTGCCCGGGCTTCCTTGGCCTGAGCAGATCTGGCAAAGGCAACCTGCAGAACTTGTTGGTCCAGTCTCTGGCCGCTCTTGAAATTTAAATCATTCGAGTATTATCTGACTTGTCTTTGGAAGAAAATGTAGCTTCCTCTAGAGCCAGTTTGAACATCAAACAATTCACAAGAGACAGAAGGAAATACATGTGCAAATAGCTGCAAATTTGGAACCACACAAAGGAAAACTTCTGTTTAAGGATTTAGGTAACCTTCATGTTAAAGCTAATTATTGACTTCATGTAACTCCCCCACACTGGAATCCACAATTCAAGAACCTAGACTAAAATTTATGCTGCCCAGGTGTATGCAAATGTCTGTGTGGTTGCTTCAGCTTTCCAGATCCCCAGTTGTCAGAATCCCTCTGCAGGAACTTGCTTCTCTCACCTACAGAGAAGACTTAGGGCTACTGTGCTTGCAGAATAGGCATCTCAAGCTACTGCCTGAAGTGGCACTAAATATGTTACACATTAGGCATTTGAAGAGTTTCATCTTGCTGAATCTCATACTCACATCATATAGAGTCCTTCCACAGACTTACTCTGGTGTGTAGGTGCTACCTGTGGGACTTAAACCAGTGACAGTGTTCAGCTGTGGAGCTCATGTTCCTGTTCACGGCATCATCACCCATGGAAATAGAAGCCATCAGCTCAAACTGGCCTTTGACTATTTGTTTGGAGTAGAGACAGATAAAATACGTACAAGAAGACAAGAAAGAAATTCTGGATTGCAGTTTTGAAGAGTGTCTGAAGTTTATTTGGGTCCTGTTACATCTTGTTCTGTATCTGAAGTTATTGAAAGTGCTTAATTTGAAAATCTGCAACTTTGGTTTCATAGCTAAAAGGGATAGAGTGTGACCTAGGCAGTGCATGGAATGCCACACGACCTCTGTAACAACATGTGTCAGAGCAGGCTTAAATTGGATAATAGGAAAAGGTTCTTCACCCAGAGGGTGGTTGGGCACTGGAACAGGCTCCCCAGGGACGTGGTCACAGCACCAAGCCTGACAGAGTTCAAGAAGTGTTTGGACAAGTGCTGTGATTCTTGGAGATGTCCTGTGCAGGGCCAAGAGTTGAACTTTGATGATCCTTGTGTGTCCTTTCCAACTCATGTGTTCCTCAGACACAGGCCATGACTATTATGGTGGTCCACACTTGGAATAAGCAGGGGCAGCTGGTGAACTGGGATGAAGATTACTGCAGTTTTTCCCTAAAGGCTGCTTGAATAAAACAAGCAATCTTTGGAACAGAAACTAAAGCCATCTCTCTCTTAAATTAATTTTCTCATCTCCAAGTCTTGTGTTGCCTTTCTTTAGCTCCACAAGAACAATAGAGCTTATTTTCTCATTTAATATAAATTATTGTTGAGTGTACTTGCATGGAAGAAAAAGGTTCCCTTAAATATGAGAAGGCATAAAGTCTCTTGCTCCTACTACAAACCTGAAGTGGGGTATTACAATTTCTGCATTTGGTGGCACAGTAGGAAGCACCAAGTTACAGAATGAATGGGGCAGGTAGGAGAACAGAGACTGAACACTTGAAATTTTTGAAGAAACTTTAAAGTAATAAATTTCTCATACCTATTTAAGTTCTTAAAAGAAAAATACCTTTTGACTTGACTGATTGCAATCCTATCATAAAGTTCAGCTTTTCTTAACAAAAGCAGAAATAAGTCAAGCAGACTGAATTAACCTGAATAAAGCAAAAAGACAGATACTACAGTCCATCTATAGTGCTGCTATAGAATTATTTTAGGATGTCTTGTTTAAACTCTCCAAGGGTCAAATGTTATATAGCATCATGCATTACTCTTTCAAGTTTGACTTAATGTCTTAGAAGCAATGCTTGTTCCTGTAAAAAGTCCAACAGATTATTTGGACAAAAATACATCACCATGCCATTTCACATGGAGAAGGTGAATAATCACAGTCTTATAGCCTGAGATGTACGACATTCTTGTTATAAAACTAAATAAAGTAATTGCATGAAAAAAAAAGGTTGTGGAACTTGCCAATAGAGGGCATTTCTGGAAGCTGAAAGTAAAATCTGCTTCAAAATAAAGGTAAACTGATGCCTCTTGCATCAAGAACCAAAAGAACTGAAGATCAAGGAACAACATCCTGTTCACAAAGTCTCTAATATCAAGAGCTAGAAAAAAATCAGACTATTTTGTCCTTATACCTGCCCTAAGTACTTGCTATGAGTCTTCTTTCTCAAGCTAAACTGAGGTGAGAAGACATGGAGAATGGTTGTATTGGATCTGACATCAAATATATGTATCTGCTGCTACCACTGAGGAAAAACCAGAACATGTCTCGGGTTCTTCCCTTGTTTTTGTCCATCAGAATACAACCTCAATGCTATCTATTTTGTTTAACACATTCTGAAGCACTGAGCACACTCCTTTTTCTTGCTTCCTGGCCATTTCACACATCCCCTTAGTAAGACAGATTACACATTCAGAACAATCTTGAGATTGTGCTGTTGCTCCTGTAGTTACAGTTGTTCCAGGACAATTATTATCCTGACTACTTCTAGTTCTTCCCATAATGTTAAGGAGCTTGAAAACTGATACGAGTTCTTAGCATTGGTTTGCTCTATCAATTTCAATGCAAGAGAATGTGTCTCTTGGATCTGACAGCATTTTTTCATACCTTACACAGAAATTCCAGAAATTATAGCCTTCTGTTGTATTCCTTTACTACATGTGCTCAATCTTGCATACTCCCCTTCTACCAACACCCTGGAAAAACTTTCCTTCTTAGTATTTAAAGGCTCTTTCTTGTACAAGTGACTTCACTTTGTGTTTGCAAGAAAATAAGAAAACTTGTCATCAAGCTGAGTTTATGACTGATGTAAGCAAGTGTTCAGCCACAGCTATCTCAGTGAGCTGGTTACATAATTAGTCTCAACTATGCCAAGACTCAAGAGACTGTTAAACAATGATACATGAAATATATCACTATCTACTTAACATGTGACACCAAAGATTAAAAAGGTATTTGCAAAAATTCCATAAGCTACATAACAAATACCTCTACAAAGGTTTTCTTCATTTCCTATTTATATATATATATATGATTTCAAAGTGTAACTGGTCCACTTTGTATGCAGCTACTTATTTTAGATCAGCTCTTTAGATAAACATGAACAACTGTAACTACTTTTTGGTTGCTGAATTCAGAACTTTATGATAGAAAGGGCAGCCAGTGTTTCCTCTGAAATTCTGCATCTTATTGTCATGGGCAGTCTTTCACCAATTCTGCTTTATTTCAGCTATAACTGCCCTTGGTTCTGTACCAAGGCTTCATCTGTGCCAAGTATAAGGTAAAAATGCTGCCTGAAATGGAGTCCACATTTTCTTTTAAAACTGCCAACTTTGGAAGTTGGAAGAAAGCAGTGGTTCAGAGATTAAATAAGAATCAGGGACAGCTTAAGCAAAGATCCAATACTTAGAACCCAGGTCTGATACCTGAGCTGGGGACAGCACCATGGTTACTGTTTCTGGTTGGCATACTCATTTTACGAAATCACGTTTTGTCTGAAACCAAGACGGTAAAGAATCACTAAGATTTTGCTAAGAATAAAGCACAAGACGAATAAGTTTGTGAAAGAGTAAAATGCTTAGTTTATAAAATCTAAATAATCTAAAACTACAAAGTGTTATTTGTTAATTGTATATTATATATACATGTAGTTTTCCTGTGTTTGGAGGTACTGAAACGAAAATTTAATCTGGTTAGCTCTGAATAATGACAGAAAATTTACTATAAGGGAGAGATCTCAACAACTGTATACACCGACTCTGAGCTGTCATCATCAATTCCATCAATTACATCCTTACGCTGGTCTTGATACGGCTCTAGTTGAAATTTCAGTTCTTTATAAATTCAGAAGCTATTTTTGGGATGCAAGGGGAAGCTATGAGTATTTGTAGTAAGTGCTCACTGACTAAATTCTGCAAACACATTTCCTTCACTTGGACTTGGTGGGCAGGGAAAGATGGCACAAATAAAAAGAGGCAAATGTGGGGGAAGCATTATCTCAGGTTTCTGAAGCATAATATACATCTCAGTATGTACTTTCCATCATACACCCTTCACAAGACCAGAGTTCTTTGGAAAGGCTGTTGCAGATCTCAACTGCTTTCCATTCCTAACTTTATTACTACAAACTATTTCTTGCTGCAGTGTATAGTTGTTACACCTGCCTACTTTTAAAATAAGCAGAAGATGCTTCTTTAGAAGGAAGCTTTAAGATTTTTATGATGACCAAGTATCATCTACACTTTACTTTCTGTGCTAACACTGAAAAAAGTTTGCTTACTAAATTTATTTCTGAAGTCGCTAATGTACTGGAGGTATGCATTTAAGTATCACTGTTGCAGGCTCACCATATTATTTATGCATTAGAGAACTGTCTGCTGCTGCAAGGACAGGTGCAGCACAAACTCAGGTTGATGAGAACTCCCACTGTTTACAGCTTTGTTAGTCCGAGGGAAAGCATTGTAAAAATAGGGGGGAGTCTTATCTATTACAAATATGAGAAGAGTTGTAAAAACATAAAATTTTAGCAATCACTGAGAATTTACATTAAAAATAATAAGGCAAACCCAACACAAAACAGTCACTCAAGAACTTACCTCAAGCTTCAATGAAAGCTTTCAGCCCTTCTTTTGGAATCATTATTTTCTCACAGGCAGCAGTGCCTGATCTGAGGGAGATGCTCCTGTAGCTCCTGTAACTCCTATAGAAGGATCAAGGCTTACAACTGAAAACAGCAACTTACTCAGTTTCCCTTATATTTAAGAATTAAGTGTTTCAATTTTAAGGTATTTTGGGCCTGCATATTATCTTAAAAAAAAAAAAAATATAACCGTTTAATTCTTAACCAAGCTGACACTGAAACAGTGTGGTCTTAAGAACTAAGACCTTTAAAAATCCACACCAAACCAAAATGAAAAAGGGAAATCACATGTATAAATAAACTAACTTGATGAAATTTTACTTCTAAAAATAGTGACTAGTTCTTGTGTTCTCAGGATGTTTTGACAAAAAGCGTGACTATACAATTAATTATCTGTATGACTAAGAAGTAGATTTCGAGCTACAAAATGTCATCACTACAACTTTCCACACAGAAGTTTGATAGGAGCTACAGTAAAGCCTCCCTTCAGAGGAGCCAAGATTCTTGTGTCCAGAGAACTGTGAGTTTCAGGTGAGCTTGTTCACTGCCAGCATTCCTCCTCGTTTGATGTGACTCCACAATGCTTTAAGTCATGGGCTGTATTTACATTGAAGCCTTGAGTGACAAATCACTTGTTTAATAAGAAAAGTGTTTTTTTTCATCATCTCTCCTCTCCACTGGTTTGGAGAGATTAAAAATCTCTTTTACAAGGGTCAAGGTTATATTCGCAGTTAAAATGTAGGAGAAAAAACTGAGATAATAATTAACCAGTAACCATTTAAACATGTTTCCCAGTAAGCTGCTTCAAACTCACCTATTTCCAGCTATATGTAAACTAGACCAAATTGTTTTATTACTGCAGGAAAAATGTGTGCTGTTCTTATTTAACCCTAGAAGAACAAAGAGATGCTGATTGTTGATAGAAGCAAACATTATTTTTTAAAATACTGCAGGAAAAAAAGCAGTATTAGTCTTTCCCAAGTGCACTATGTGCTACTTAAATAGTACAGGTATAAACGTAACATGATGGAATAACACTTGAAATACCTCAAACTAAAATGTTTGGAGAAACGACACATGGAAACATGTGAATTACTTGGGAAGTAATTCAACCAATTTCCCTGAGGTTAAAATGAGGTTGGAAAATCAAAAAAAGCAGAATCCAGGCTCAAATCTAAAGAGCTAAATGGAAAACCTTTCTTTTCACATAGGTTGTTCTGTGATATATTTATGATTACAATTGTTTGAATTAATTTTTATTCAATGGTTGTCTTAAATCCATCTGAAAATAAAAGGCAGTGTTGACTACCACTGGAAAATTGCAAATAAAATGTTTAATTTCAGAAACTGAGTTCACCATTTATAAATACACTAAAACATAGTAAATGCAAAATTGGATTAGGCATTAGGTAGAGTATTTTAACAAAGCTACAACTTTTCTAAAAGGTCATAGGCAAATGATGACTTGTTTCCCAAAAATGTATTCAATGAAAACTGAAATTAAAAGATGACTCTTTCTAGAGTTAAACTAAGGAGAATGTTCCTTTCAAATTAAAATGCTGGCTATTTTTTCCATCTTATTTGAAGTTTTAAAGGCTGTATATCCCATTTGCCTGATGGACACCAACAGTTAAGAATCAACCCTACTATATAAAGTTCTACGCAGTGCACCATATCCATAAGGCTATAACTGAAAACCAGAAGATCAGTTATTTCTGTACTAGGAGCTTTAAGACGGGCTGTTCTACACAATTGAAATTACATTAGCAGTAAGGGCTCAATTTTTACAATAGGGACCTTATAGTTTTGATGCACTCAAGATTAGAAAAGGCTTCAGAATGACATTAGAGTCTTTTTGTAAGTTTCTTGCCTTTTTTGTACACGGCATTAAATAACAAGCATTAATTCACAAACTTTGAGAGAACTTGCAAAGACCTTTTATAAATACCCAGAATATTTCTGTAATTCACTTAAAAGTAAAACCTGAACAGGAGAACCCAGAACGGGAAGTTTTACTACCGATTGCTGTGTAAGTGACATTCCATCTCATGTTAAATTTAAGATTTATTTTCAGATATTAAGTCAACAGTCTCCTGTAAACACATCTTCCTCAATAACTCTTCTTAATCCTTTAAGTACTTTAGGGCTTGCAGTTAAAAACACCGTATGATAAAAAGACAGCTTGAACCCCATCTTTCACGTACAGCTTTCTTTTGACAACTACAAAACCTGTTTTCTTGCAATTAAAGCAATGTTCAACTAAAATACAGTACCTGGTTTATGGTTTTTACATAATAATTGAATAAAAAACTACAGAATAGAACTGTTTACATCTTTTTTTTTTTTTTTTTTTTGCCATTCTATTAAAACAAATGACTGAGCTTTTAAAAGTTCATTTACAATTATGAATTAAAACCTACATAATTTTGTATAATTTGACGAGACAGGCTATCTCTAGTGTGAACTTTTAAAAAACATATATACAATATCTGGCCTGAAGTACTATGAATAAGGCACATGTAGACATATTGAAAGCTGAAAAAAAATGAACCTTAAAATTTGGAATTATAGTCACTGATTAGATGTCATACATGGCCCCTACTGGAGCAATTTAAAAATCCGAGTTATAGATAGTTAATATCCAGTGAGCAACAATAGATTTAGTCTAGCAGTTTGTTCATTAGTTTCAATACTGGAAGTATATTAAAGGAAGATTCACTTTCAAAAAGATAAGCTTTTCAAAGTGTTCAATCATTAACCTTGACTGACTAAAGTTGTTGCTTTCATTGGATGTATTGAACAATCTCTCTGAAGGAACAATGCTTGGTGGACAACCCAAGAACCTGACAGCCAATTTTGACAGTACTGGCCAAGATGACTTCTTAAAGTTCCAGTAAGTTAGAGGATCACAGTTATGCTCAAGGACTTCTTCCTCCAAGTAAGAAAGCACCATTTCCTCTGGTAACTTTGCTCTTTCTTTCAGGTCTTTTGTTTTCTTCATGTCACCCATGAGTGACCAGAGATTATCTTCCCCATACGAATTTGTAGATGGTGAACCTATATCACATCCATTGGAAACAGGTTTATCATCATCTGAGGTAGAACTCATTATTTCCAGCTCCCTGATTAAGTCTTGTTTATATTGTTCAGCCTCCTCTTCTGTAAATAACGATGTTTTATACCGGGGATCCAGAAGCGTAGCAAAAATGTACCTTGGATCATGAAGCGTGGAGGACAATCTACTCACCATAGCTTCTTTTAAAGATTTCAGCATAGTATCTATGCCCATAGTTTCCTCAAATAGCATTTCTATTTTCCTGTTAAGTATATGAATCATTGGAATCACTTGGCTTAGCGTAGACATGTGTGTACTCATCTCTCTACTTGCAGCTTCAAAAGGTTTGAGAGCATGACACACTGACTGCATGACTTCCCACTGATCACAACTTATTAGCTCCCGAAAGCTGCACTCAATTGACATTTCATCAATTGCTCTTTTCTGTTCAATGAGACGTTCAAGCATATGAAATGATGTATTCCACTTGGATGGAACATCTTGTATTAGCTGATGCTGAGGCAACTCATACTCTTTTTGCAATTCAGCTAACTTCTCTTTTGCTTTTGCTGACCGATGGACGCGTTCACAGATCTTTCTTGCAATACTAAGTAAATTCTGAACCATTCTCTGGCTTTTAATAGCCTCATTTACAATTACATTAACAGTGTGACTAAAACATTGTACACTGGAATGATCACCTTCATTTAAAGTTTTCTCTATACTCTGATTATCAGTAACAGTAATCCCAATCTGAAGTCCGATGGAAGTAATCCACGTTTCCCACCAGTATTCTAGCTGCTTTTGAATACTGATTCCATTGTAGTCACAATCAATCTGTGACACATTTAATAGTGCTGAACAATGGTAATCCTCACACTGTGGTCGAAATGAAGACTCAAATGTTACCCAGTGAGCAGTCAGGGTTAGATATTCTCGTGTTTGGTTGCTCATCCATATTCCAGATGTAAAATGGATCACTCCACTTTCGGCTTCTTTAAGATGTGAAATAATTATTTGTTTTACATTATCATACATATCTGGAATTGCTGTCCTAGAAAAGTAAGATGGAGAAGGTAAAGAATACTGAGGTTGCAAATATTCAAGCAGCCTGTTAAAGCCAATGTTGTCTACAAAAGAATATGGCTGAAGGTCAAGTGCAATCATTTCAGCTACAAGACTTGTGATTTTTTTGGCAACTGGATGAGAGTCACAAAACTTGTCATTGGTTTCATCAAAATTTGAAGATCCTATTAATTCTGTGCGGAGTGGCATATGATTATCCGTAGATGAGGATAATACTGTCTCTGGGACATCAGTTTTCAATACATTGTTATGAAACCGCTGCAAATGTCTTAGAAGGCAACTTGTGCCTAGGTTTGTTGGCTTTTTCCCCCTACTTATTATACGTCCACAGTGTGTACATATTACTTTTGTTGAATCTGCAGAACAAATTGAAAAGTGATTCCACAGTTTTGAGGTCTTCTTACTATTAACCGGAAATATAATTTGATTATCATGTGTAACCATTGTAGGCAAGTCAGTCAACTTTGAGGAGGAACATTCTGCAGAAGCCAAAGTGGCATAAGGAGAATTTGCCAAACTCACGTCAAGAAAGCTCTTTTGGTTTCCAATTACATCAGGATGGCGCCGATATAGATGTCTCATTAAGCAGCTTGTGCCCACATCTCCTTTCTTACCACGACTTATCATACAACTGCAGTATCTACATACTGCTTTTAGACTGTCTGCAGGTGAGAGTGAAAAGTGGTGCCAGACTTCTGACTTAAGCCTTTTCATAATCCTTTTATTTTGCTGAAACACAGCAGTAGGTTCAAATATTAGTGGACCCAATCCCTCACACTGTTTTTCAGGAGATGAAACAAAGGAGACTTCACCTATATCATCAGAAGATGATAGCATTGAGTCTTCCACTAGAGCATCTCCAGAAGTGAGATTGGTATGGATCTCCTCAGAGATTCTGTCTGGAGAAGAGGAAACAGAAGTTGGTTCTTTCATTAGTTTTCCAGGAGAGGATGACATGGAATTCAGATCACTGTCTGACGGTAGTAAAGAAGGCAAGAGAGTAGGAGGTGCGGTGTAGAGAGGTGGTATGCTGGTACCACCCCCATTCTCTTGCAGGACAATGGAACGATGTGCTCTCCACATGTGTCTTATTAAACAACTTGTTCCTAGGTCTTTTCCATTTTTTCCTCTACTGAATTCATTCATGCAGTGGATGCAAACAGCTTTAGAATTATCTAGAGGTGACAAATAAAAGTGTTTCCAGACAGCAGATCTCCTTCTAGAACCTGATGCACTCTTTGGAATTACAACTGTTTTTTCTGCTACATTCTCAACAGTGTCATCATATTGGCTGTTGGCTTGCTGTGGAGATGAACCAACCATGACTTCTTCTTTGCTGCACTTTTCAGAAACTGCAAGATCTGATATTTCTTCAGAAGAAACAATAGAAACAGATTCCTCAATTATTCGATCTGGAGATGGTATTTTAGAAGCCATTTTCTTGACCAGTTTTATGGGGGATAACATAGAACTCAGATCTCCAACATCTGCAGACTGAGGTGGCAGCAGTAACGTAGATGAAGAAAAGGAAGATATACCTGGCATAGTTCCATTTTCTTGAATCAATACAGTGGGATGTGCTCTCCTCACGTGTCTCATGAGACAACTTGTACTCAAGTCCTTTTCATTTTTACCCCTGCTAAATTCTTTCATACAGTACATACATATTGCTTTAGTGCTATCTCTAGGAGATATAAAAAAATGGTTCCAAGCAGGTGACTTTTTTCTGGAGCTTATGTTTCTGCTAGAAAGGAGGCTTTGTGTCACAGCTTCCATTGCTACATCATACAGCGTATTACTATACTGAGAAAAAAGAGATCCATAATCATCTTCATTTTCTGTAGATAAATATTTGCCAGCGTTGTTGGTAATGAAGTTCTTTTCTTTGTCATCCTGTTCATCACTGCTGTCCACATGTTTGAAATCATCTTGTTCTGTCTTTATATCTGTTCTTTCCAGAGTACAGTTAATGCTGTCGTCTTCTTGCTCTACTTTCAAGTTATTGATTTTACCCAATACAAAAGTATCATCCATTCCGGGGCAATCTGCTTTACTCATGTCCATGGATGATAAATTCTTGCCAAGACTTCATTTATTAATAAATATAGGTAATTTAAAGATTATTTAAAATTTGATTAGAATTATGTGTCTTGTATACTGAATGTAAAACAAAATGCGTGCATGTGTTAAAATAAACTCTGGTTTATGAATTCTTTAAGTATTTAAGTATCCGTGTTGCACATAAGCAAATATAATTAGTCATGAAAATGCATTTAAAAATTATAGACTTAATTAATGGAATCTCATTTTTTCCCAGGATCAGGACATCTCAGGTCATAGATGAATGTTCTCAAAGACAGCTACTGCTAAATGCTTCATGTTGTAGATATAATCCTAAAAAATGGATGTTCTATTTTCTTGGTGTAGAAAGCCATTCTGTTCATCTTGATTGGGCAACTGAGATTCTTTTACACCATCTACAAAAAAAATCAGAAGACAAAGTTGAATAATACACTTTTAAAAACTACAGTAAAGGTGAAATGAAAGCAGGCACTAAGTATTCTGTATTTTGGGTTTTTTTCTCCTTTGAGATAAAAACAATTTAATGTACTATTGGGAAAAAAAGGAAAAAAACCGACGTTTACTCAATACATTTATTGTAGGCAAATACATGTCTACACATGCAGCTCTGGTTCAACTTTGACAAAAATCTGGAGTCTAAGCGTCACTTTTGTATTTGCTTGCACGTACCTATACCTCATCCTCCATCATCATTCAACCACTACATGCATACATATACCGAAGTACACACACATACATATATAAACCCTATATAGGTGTCTACATCTACCAATATATATGAACACAAGCAGGCATTTAATTACGTTAGCACAGAAATATGTACTTAAAACCAAACGTTTTATCTCAGTCCTGTGAGTCCATCATACTGACAGCAGTCTTTAAAAAGAAAACAAGTAACCTCTGTAAGGGTGTTCAGGCGTTTCATACTAATCACTCTTCCTCTGACCATTGTCACATGTTTGTATTCATGCCGTACCACTCCCAGACAACAACATGCTACAGAAAAAAAGCTACTTTTAGAGTTTCATTATTAAAAACTGAAATGTTTACTGTATGAATGCCATACAGAGAGGTCTTCCAAAAGTGTAGCAACATCACTCAGAAGCAGACACACTGGATTGCATATGCTGGTGCCTAGTGCAGCACTGCCAGCTGAAGTCCCTCACATGCCCAAAGGTTACATTAGAAAGCCCATTTACAAGACAGCTAATTTCAGTTGCGAGTAAAGATTCTTCACCACCAATTCTAGTACAAAGAGTAGGTTTTCAAAGCTGCATATAAAGTTACATAAAAGGGCAACAGCAGCCTCAAAAACTAGAACTGAGTAGTCTCTCACAAATATGAAGAAATTATCTGCATTTATCAGTCACTTTTTTTTCCACAGCAACTATATTAGGATATTAAATGCTGCCAAACCCTTTCTCATTTATTTTTCTGTGCCCATTAATGCAGTTACTGATTTCTTTATTCAGGATAACAAACATTTTTGGCCAAACTGCTGATGCTACACTATGCATTGCAATTTTTGCAAACTGAATTTTATGGAACTCTTTCTCTACAGCTGAAGCCAAAACACAAATTTAAATTGATTATTTTTAAAACTTTCCACAACCTCTATGTGTTACTAAAAAAAAAGGAAGAATTAGGGTGATTCTTGGGGTGTCCTGTGCAGGGCCAGGAGTTGGACTTGATGATTTTTATAGTTGCCTTCCAAATCAGCATATTCTATGATTTCTGCAATGGTAAAATTAGCCATAGGCACTAACCATATTAAAAAGGCTGTTAGGCACATTGACATTTTATTAGCTTTATAACCTATTTTGACTAATTTTTCTCTGAGGTTTGTTTATATAGAAATTAGGAACATTCCTTTCTACACTTTCTGTGGATTTCTGATTTATGGAAAGCCTGTCATCATGGTAACTTCCTTTCTTTTCCTTTCTTTTCAAGTGAAAGGGCAGGGAAAAGGAGGGGCAATGATCTTACCTATTTTAAGAAAAGGGAGATGGAGCAGTCAGAACTTGCTAAGAGGTAGGGAACAATTCTGCTTTTCTTTCTCTGCAAGTTTTAGTATTTGTGCCTTTCTTTCTCATTCTTGGAGGATAAAAAAATGTTTTCAGATACCAAAAGATATGAGGGTTGAGCATGAAGAACAATGAAGGGAAAGAATTGAAGGGGAAAAAAACCCCTTAGATTTCTACAAGAAATTTACACTACACAGACTTTCCCATTGGCTTGTGAAAATCTGAGAACAATTCTGACAGCCAGACTAAATTTACATGACTCAGTATAAAATTGAATGAATCAGAAATTAGTGATCACACACGTACTGATGATGCGGACATATGTGGATCTGGGACGAGACAGAGAGTGGAACATAGTCAACTTTTTTTAATAGCTATCAAATCAAGAGGATTTTTGTTTCATCTTTACTTTGATCTTATCTGTGAATTTGGAGGTTTTACTGCAAACAGGAAAAGCAAGAAAATATAATAAGCTGTTCTGACTTAGGATCAGAGAATAGAAAGGCTCACAAGCAAGTGGCTTGATACACAGCTTACAGAATATAAATTATGCATGGAAGTGCCAAGTTACAGTAAGGACATTACAGATTCCTAGCTAGATTCACACAAAATAAATGCGTATATCCACTAGGATCGTGTTCCGATGAAGCTGTGTGCAATTTCTTTGGCTCAAAACAGGTAATCACATCTTCATCCTGCGGTTCCTGTAATTTCTCAACTATGCAAAAACAATTCTAGGCTTTAAACAGAAAAATCTGCAGAAATGCTTCAAGAGTCTGTCCTGATAAGCAGTTACTGCTCAACACAGTGAAGCTTAAGGTAGCTGTGATGGGAAGATTTGAAAACCTGATAAATAAGGCCAGTTGCAAACTTTATAACCACACTTAACTAGATTGACATTCATTAACAACACATTGCCGGTGGTTAAGTTCTTAATCATTATCAGCCATTATCACTACATATTCAAACACTTAGGCCCTAATCACCTTATCCTAAATTAGCTTTGAGTACACAATACCACTGAGCTGATGCCGTGTAGTTAAATACTGATGACTGTAGTCCTTGACAGTCTTAGTTACTGAAGCTGAGGTGAAAAGGTGAGGGAGTTGTTTGGACTCTGAAGCAGGAACCATGGTGGTAGACTTCTTTCTTCCATATTTCTCCTTGCTGTCACAGCATGCTTTTAATATTCATACTCTCCTCTACTAAAGCAAGTAGGAAGCAATCTCATCTGCTCCTGACCCTACTACCTTCATTTCTTTAGGACCAAAAATTGTTCTTGCTCCACTAGAAATCTTTCCTTATTATGCTGTATCCCTGGTTTTTGATTGCAGTTTTTACTGCTTGAATTGTTGATTCACATGGTTTTTGTCCTCCTAGGTCTCCCTTTGCAGCTATGTGTTATTTCTATATTTATGCTTAGCTGTGAAAATGCCTGCATGCTGTTAACAGAGTTATTATGCTATTAGCATAATAATTTACAGACTGTGGTCAGTTACACTATTTTAGTGTACTTTTGACTGAGTGTAAGACAAGAAAAAATTATTTATATCTTGTCCACTTTATGGCTGTTATAGGTCTCTGGGTACATAGTACATATTTTTCCCAGCCTTGTTTCTGCCTTCTAGAAATGAGCAGAAATAGCTGAGATTAGAGGAGATAGTCACTTCCAGGGAAATCTCCGAAGTTGGATGCCTATTAGAAGATTTTGAATGTTTTTTGGTTTTTTTCTTTCAAACATCTAAGAATTATTTTTGTTCGTTTGAGAACTGGCTGAATGGCACAGCTCAGAGGGTTGCAATCAACAGGACAGTCTGGTTAGAGGAAACCTAGCTAGAAACCTGAAACACAGGAGGGTCTATCTGAATACAAGGAAAAAACCTTTCTTTAGACAGTGACAGAGCACTGGAAGTAGCTGCCCAGAGAGGCTTTGGAATCTCCTTTGGAGATATTCACAACCAGACTAGACAAAGATAAAAGCAGGATTGTCAAACGTGCTCCAGCTGAATCTGCATTAGCAGGGGAGTTGGACTAGCTGAGCTCCAGAGGTCCCTTCCAACCCCCATCATTCTCTGATTCTGTGTTATGAATGTTACATCACACTGTAAAATTAAGTCAACCTCCTTCCCTTCGAACACCCTTGCACTTTCAACTGAAACTTTCTTTAGAATATAGTACCCAGAATACTCAGGGTTAGAAACATAAATATGTTTTTCATCTTCTCCTCCCATGCCAACTCTATGTAAGAGTCAATCTGTTTTAGTAAGAAACAAAAAAGGATGTTTTAAAATTTTATAGTCACCTAAAACGAAGTATGAATTTGATTGTGACCACGTTTATATAGCTTATTTATCCTTGGACCCAAGCTACTCAAAATTAAGGACTACTACTAAACAAGCAGGATGTTCAAGAAGGAAAATATTTTCAAAGGTACAAAAAGCTATAGGCAGTTAGCTCAAAATTACTTATGCTTTTGAAATCTCCACAATGAGATAGTCACTTTGCAACAAAACCATCTTCAAAGAAAATGAATAGAACTAAAGAACAACTATACTCAAATGCACTACTCTGGACTATTAGCTCCTGAGCAGTAGTTTGCTGTGTTTAAGAAGCCTACAGAAACATTTTATAGGATTTTCCATTCAAAATGGGATTACTGGAAGCATACAGTGGTTGACAAGATATGTCCAGAGAATGTCACTGATTCTCAGTGCCACAGCAAACTGCCATGACCAGAAGAAATCGCTGCTGAAGGAAAGAGGTAAAAAATGAAACACTGGTGTCTCAGAATTGCAGACATACATAAACACACAGAGAAGTATGAAAAGTATGCAAGAACACTGAAACATAAGCTGATTATTTTTCGTGAAGCAAAAAAGCCTGTAAGCTTTAAACAATTTTAGATTAAGTAGTCAGGCAAAAATCATGAACTTGATTATATGACAAAATCTTGGTGCAAATAATGGTCTAGAAAAAGCAGTTTAAAACAATAAAATTACATTATTACTGAAGAGCATGTAGTATAAATACAAAGACACACACCTGCAAAACGCAAGTGCAGTTTATTCAAGAAAGATGTGAAGTGTGGAGACAGTGAAAGTAAAAGCATTTACTAGTTTGAAAAAAGAATCCAAAGTAGTGACAGATTTTGAGCATAAGATGTACATAAAAGCTCATTAATAGTAATTTGCACAAACGGATGTCAGTTTTATAATAGCGTTCATCTTGTTTATTTTTGGAAATGTACAGGCATCATTAGGAATACCTAAGAACAAGCAATTCAAGCAATAAGAAAAGCATACTTGAAGAAATTCTTTGCTTCAACTGCAATGGTAGGTACTATGCTAATTAAGGAATATTTGCTAAAGCAA